TGTACCTTGGTGTATATACATTGTGTTGTGACGGGTGGGGTTGGGTGTTGTTGATCGTGTCGATGTTACGTTGCATAGGTGGAAATATCGGAAATCCAGATGTTGTAGCTTTATCAAACATTGGGCGACCATAACAATCAGATGGGAAACCTCTCATATAAGGTGCATGTAATTGGTCATCCATCATGCTCATGCTATTGATGTAAGTGGGTGGGGAGGGGAACATAAATTGCGTATTTTCAAATCCTGCTGGAGTATTCTTTGGTAATTGATGATAAGTCTGTTGCATAACCTTTTCATTATCATTAGTCAACTTTGCACTATTTTGCTGATGATCTTCAGGATTTCCTTTGACTTCAGAATGACTGTTATTTCTTTGTCCTGAATTGGCGGTCAAACTCGTTTTCTTACCACTCTTTTTATGGCCTTTTCCAACTATGTTGCTCGTTTCTGACATTCTTAATAGTTACTTTTTGAAAAAAGATCAATGATTTTCACTAGTATTTTCTTCAGCAATTACTCAATATTATCAAAAACTTTAAAAAACAATTTACAAATTATCACAACTGATTTTGACGTCCGCCATATTGGAGCCTCGATTCGATCCCTAGCCATCATATTATAAACATAAGCTAAAGAATTATCTTTATCCAAGCTATAATACAACAGTAACAACATCATGGATATTATCTCAGCTGCCAAAACTCTTCAACAACAACTGGTTGCCCTTGACAACAGTGACTCAACAATATCACTATTAGGTAAATGTAATTATATACTCATTTTCCTCATTTTTCTCTATTACCTGTCCATGTCAATGAAGCATTTTGAAAACTGTATCCCATAATTTGTCAGTTATAATGGCAATGAACCATTAAATTCATTTTTTTTCTTTATTCTTTCTCTTTTACCATGTCAATGAAGCATTTTTCAGTGGCGGAGTGGACTAGTCTAAGGATTTCTGACCGCATGGGTTCAAATCCTGTCAGGGGGCAAGCCTTTGTTTCCTTGAGCAAGAAACTTTACATTCATTGCTTAGTACTGGTTGGTTCCAGGAACAGATTCGAGAGTGTTTCAATAAGCTTATAGCTTCCAACAAAATCAAACTAAAATAAATTTGTATAAACTAATGAAGCATTTTGAAAATTGTATTTCTTAATATGTTCTTTACCATGGCAATGAACCATTTAAAATATGTATATTGTGTAATTTGCATCTATTTCCAGTGACAATGATCTAAATGCATTTAATTCTTATTGCAGATGGCCAATTAGAAAATCTAGGATGCCAGTCTATGATGTCAAGTATCGCAGAGAACCAGTCTCATCATTTACGTCTGCTGCTGCGTGTATCAGTAACAGAAGGTGTACGTGGCATGTACAAGCATTATTCCAGCAACAAATGGGCTCAGGTATATATGACTTTTTTATTATTCTATAATAAGATGGATTTATTTATATACATTTTTATAATACTGCATGTTTGTAACTTCATTTTTCATTGGATAATCGTGACTTATATATAAACGGCTGTTTGCAATATAACCCTCATCTAACGGCTCGGGTTATATTTACAAACAGCCGTTTATATAGGGCCATATAACCTGTCAACGATCTTTATAACTAATAATATACATTACTACATAGAATATAATATATATATGTCTTCTCTCTGGCAAGAACACTAACCCTAACATTAACCCCTTGTTAACTTTTAATCATACATTAATTTCCTTTTTTGCACATTTTCCATCACAGTGGTTTTCATCAGTTTGGGAAGAGGCTTTATCCTGATTTTCGGAAGAATTATCATTAAATTTTTACTGGGAAGTAAAAATGTTCATGCTTTTGGACAAACTGTATTAAGAAAATTTCAATTAGAAAGAGGCCTTTTATATATAAACATGTATATCACTAAAATTTTCTATTTTATCCTGATTTCAGGTTCAGAACACAGCTAGAACGATCAAGTCTACATTTGAGGCAGACGTTGAGCAGCAGACGGCATCAGTAATTACATCACATACAGGAACTCCTGGCATGGATAATGCAGCAGCAGAATGGACCAGTGTCATGTGTGAAATGTCTAGATATGACTGACATTTTCAGTTTTGTCATGAACTTAGTGCTGTATTTAACTATAAATAAATATGTGCTCTTTGTTGCTACTGTTATTGAACAAAATAAATCAAAATAAAACTATACTGTGCATTTTCTTTCTTTCAAACATTATTTACTGTCTCATGAACCGGTTGTGTGACCTAGATGACCCATATTTAAATCATTGAATTAACCTTTCTGACATATTGCATACCTGGCCTGAAAATTTTAATTAATTGGGCTCAAAATGTTACCTCTAGAGCTAAATTTTAACAAGATTTTCCTGTTTCAGCTCAGGTGAGCTAAAAACCATGAAGTCAATCTTGAAGTGATCTTATGTACAGATCACTAAGCACATTTTTATCATCCCATATTATAAATATAACATTCTATTCATGGCTCCGTTAGCAATTTAGATAATAGGTCAAAATGAACATTACATTATATCTTACTTTGAGCAGGTGATCCCTTCAGATATTTGAGGTCTTCTGGTGTGAAGTAAAGTGGTGTGTTGTAGGACTCAGGCAGGATATTTAGATACGGTCTCCAGTTTGAGTCTTGTGATTGCCTTTCACACAGAAGATGTAATGCTAACACAACACTCGGCATAACTTGAAGTATCCTATCCATGCTTATCAAGGGACCTACAACAACAACAACAACATCAGTTACCCATTTATTATCTTAACTTGAAATGTAATTTACACACTTAGTTGTTTTCTTCTTCCGTCCTTAAGAATAAGATGGGTTCAGTATAATAATGTCATATATCATTAACATACATTTAACATAATATATAACATGTATAAAAATAAATTATTCTCCAATTCCTATAAATAAAGGTGTCATAATTGTATATAGTCACTAGTTGTTCTAAAATATAAATTATAGTAGTTTGTGATAATCATTATGAATTTGAAAAAAAAATCAACTAAAAAAATGAACGGACTTGAAGGCTCTTTCAACGCAGAATAATTACTTGTCACCACAGAAGGACTAATTATCCAAGTAGTGCCAGGCTCTACCAATAGTTAAGACACTAGACCTCTTTTACATATCAATATAATGTTAACACAAAATTATTTAAGAATTCAATCATGAAGTGATGAACAAAATGTCTGACAGCTATGAAAAGTTTACTGACAGACAAGCGATCCAGATAGCTCAATAGGTAAAGAGTTGGACTGTGAATCGGGCGACCAGGGTTCGATTCCCGGACAGCGCAGGTCACTTTCGTTGTGATTGATCATGAAATATTTTCTTCAGTCATTTGCACTGTACCTCTGCACTGGCATGTACAGTAGTTTCAGTTCCTTACCATAGTGAAGGCATTAAGAACTTGTAAACTGCTTGACAGCCTGCCCAGGAATGATGCGGTGGCTGAACTGTGCTTTGGTAAATTCAATGTGGCTTACTTCCATGATCAGTAATGAAAACTACCAACACATCCACCACTACCAACTATAAATGTTAGTGACTGACACACATGGATTATAGAACATGACATGGCTGGATGATTAAATTACCTAATGGAGAGCTCTTTGCTGATTCAGTTGTCATCATTATATTTCTAGGAATTGCTAAGAACTGGTCTCCTTCCTGGTAATAAAAAATACATGCATGTTTATTAAACTTAACGACTCTGAAACACATACATTATGCTGTTTTTTTATGTTAACAAATGTAAATACATTTATCTCATATTTACTATAACAGTTAGTGTTTGAAAACCCTCAAATATATTAATTTGAAGGAGACAGTAAGACAGCTTGCTCCACTATTCTCCGTGCTTGATAGTAAAACAATGGCTTCAATAATGCAAGAATTGACAATAGTTCATTCAAAATAAATGAGGTATTTATGAGTCTTGGAGAGTGACCTGTAATTATGATCCCAATGAAATGAGTGAAGATTCAAACAAATTCCTTTAGTAGTTTTGAACAACAATTTTACGCACTAAACTTTGTTGTTTTCCATTTTGATACACTGAACTGACAAGTACTAGAAACGTAAGGAATGAACCTTGAAAATAATAAAAGTACTTGTTTCCATCCCTAACCGTCATCGATAGCATCATTAAGCAATCGCATTTTTCAATAAATCCACTCATCTTTCAAATATAAAAGTGAAATTATTTGTTCAAGACTGCCTAATCTTGAGCACTTACAGAAATACTGATTATCAGTTTATTTACCTTAAGATCTTTCGTTGCTTGAAGACCGTATCCTAGTCCTGGGAAACAGTGAATGTCGACACAACCTACATCTACTTTGTTATTCTTCAACCATTCCATAAATATTGGAAATTTATCTTCTCTCTTCTCGCACACAAAGTTTATGTCTGAGTTAAATATAATTTTACATACAATATCAAGAAATAAGAAACATTTTATAAGTCTCTAAAAAATGTCAACAAAAGATTAAAATAAAAAGAAATAATGATAAGGTTGTTGGATAAATCTATTATATATGTCATTATGGGCAATAAAATAGCGCCAACAAGTACAATCAGCAGACCAGTTGCCAAAGAAACAAAACAAAACAAAATTCAAAAAATAGTTGACGGTAATAACCTTATGCTTATAAATGAAATAACTTAAGTTCACAGTCTGTCTTGTAATTATGCCAATTTTGTCAAAGCCAAACAATATTCTAGGATGGGGGGATTCACTCGTATTTTTAAGAATTCCCCCCTATTTTTTCAGAGGCAGGGGGGAAAATTTTACATAGAGAAAGAAGGAAAAAGATCAATAAACGTAATAAATTATCACTTTTCGATAAAAATCCCCCCTTTTTTTCAAATCCTAGAATAAACACTGGCCAAAGAAGTAAATTTATACAAGAGCTGTCAGAAGGACAGCGCGCTCGACTTTTTTAGTGCTTGCCTATAAAACAAAACTTTGACAGTTAAGGGCACACAAGACTTTAACTAGGAATTTCTAAGTACAAATCAAGAAACATTTTCACAGAGTTATCTTCTCTTGCTTACAGATAGGTCTCATGATGGCACATAAGAACTCCAACTTCCAAAGTAATATCTCAAATGGTTAGGTCAACAAGTGGACAAGAATGAAAATTTTAACTGAGTTTCTAAGTCAACAAGAGCTGTCCGTAAGACAGCGCGCTCGACTTTTTTATTGCTTGCCAATAAAAAAAGTTTTTGCAGTAAAAGGCAATACAAGAATCTCTGTATTTTTAAAGTGAACAATGGCCAATGGATAGGAATGAATTTTTTTAGATTTTTTAAGTTTTTTAGTGCTTGCCTATAATACAAAACATTGACAGTTAAGGGCCATAATTCAAATAAAATCTTTGACAGAATTACCTTCTCCTGGACATGTTTGGGAATCATGATTGTAAACAAGTATTCCAACTTTCAAATTAATATCTCGAACAGTTCAGTCAAAAAGTGGACTGGTACTAAAAACTTAACCAAGATTCTAAGTCGATAAAAGGCCTTAATTTTTAAAACAAATCCTTGACAGAGTTACCTTCTCTTGCGTACAGATGGGGGTAATGATGTGAAATAGCATTAAAAGTTTCAAAGCAATATCTCAAAGGGTTAAGGCAATAAGTGGATTTTACCCATATTCAATGTATTTTCTAAGTCAAAAAGGGGCATAATTCTGTCAAAAACCTTGACAGAGTTATGTCCTCTTGTCTGTTGATGAAGGTCGTGATGGTAAACAAGTATGGTCAGTTTCAAAGCAATACCTCCAATGGTTTTGAAATAAAGTGAGGTGGTACAAAAAACTTAACCAAGCTCAATACACTTTCTAAGTCAAAAAAGGGCCATAATTCTGTCAAAAACCTTGACAGAGTTATGTACTCTTGTCTGTAGATGGAGGTTATGATGGTGAACAAGTATGGTAAGTTTCAAAGCCATACTTGTAATACTTCTGAAATAAAGTGGGGTGGTACGAAAAACTTAACCAAGGTGTGACGCCGACGCCGACGCCGGGGCGAGTAGGATAGCTCCCCTTTTCATAGAAAAGTCGAGCTAATAATGCACCACGCTGGTTTCATTTGTTTTTATGTTAAGCAGACATTAAGAATTAAGGTAAATATCAAACCTTTTTGCAAATCTCTTATCTTTTCCACTGTACCTCTAATCTCAAGGTAATCTTCAAACTCCTTTGAGCCACTCCCTCCAGGCTGTGAGCATTCTTTAAGAAAACATTCCATTTTCAATATGATATGTGGCTTAGTTGACAACTTCACATTATTATACTAATTCTGATGCAACTTACACAGTTAATTGTATAGGGTAGAAATAAACAAAGTATGTTCCTAAAGAATATTTGCAAGTCTTACAGATCTATTAAATTAACTCAATAAAGCGCACAGGTTTAAATATTATCTGGACATTGTGATTTATAAAAACTGCTAAAAATTCTATTTGAATTTCAGTTAAAGCTTCTCTTACCAAAAAGTTTCACTCTTATACATTAAATTTTAATACTTTAACTTGGACTATAAATACAAACTTGAAGACTTTAAAATACATACTTTCCAAAAGGGTTTTAACAAGATCCATTATATCTTTTTTTGCTGTCTTGCTCAACTGTTTACTTGATTCTGTTGAACCTGACGCTCCATTACTAGCAGCAGGCTTCTTGTTCCTATTTTTACGACCCATGTTGCTCCTTTCTGGAAATAAACATTTTAAAGACTGTGAACAGGTCAAAATGTAATAACAATACATACAAACTGCAGGAAATCAAGTGTACAAATATCTTAAATTTTCTAGTACCCTAATACATTGTAATTTCTTGTTGGTCTAACCGTCTTACCACCCAAAGATTACTTTAAAACACGAATTTCATGTTTAACTACATAGATTAGAACTACATACAATGTAGTAATAAACATTGCAGGGTGGTGCCCTGGGGTACAGCAGTAGTGTACTTAGTGTTATTTCCATAAAGTTTTTATAAAGAATAGGCTTGATCTATTATTGTAAAATCTTACGTCAACACAACACATAAAGTCAGCTCTAAGGTACATGCCCGTCGTCACGATTTTGTGATTGGTGCGGCCAATTTGGTAGATTTTAGGCAGAATCTAGGGGGGTATGGGGGCATGCTCCCCCGGAAATTTTTTTATTCTAGGATGCTCTCAGGGGCGTTTTCCCGTATATTTGGCACAGTTTATAGCCTGTCGCTAGAACATGTTATAGTAAAATGTCAACGATTTTTTAACAGATTTAAGTGCGTCGCAAGTTTTAAGGGTGAAATTTAAGGTTTGCATTACAGACGGGCAGGTGTATGTAAAAGATGACTACATGTAATTGATATTTGGCAAATGAAAAATAAACAATAACTGATGTTGTTATAATTCTTTAGATGCATTTTTATCTGATAATTATTGTAAACAAATACAAGAAATATTACAGTACGTGGATTATTGTTTAACATAAATCACACAATGGTATAAGCTTAAATAACAATCGATGCCATGATGGAAGAATAGTACATTACGAGTCAACAATAACCGCTTTTTGTTTAGCAGTAGCTTGTATTTTGTTCATAATAATCTAACAAAACACAGAGTCTCATTTTATGTAAATTTTCCAAAAACACATCGTTCTCTGGTGTTAATAAACTCCTCAGCAATTACACGTAAGTTGAGTGAATCTGTCCTGTACTTTATGAATATGTAACATCATTAGATTCTTCAAGCATACTTGAGACATTGTCGATCTCAGGTATGTCTTTATTTTTCTGAGCTCCGAGAATGTCCTTTCACTGGTAGCATTAGTAGCAGGCATTACTAACAAAATCTTTAACAACAAAACTACCTCAGAGAACAGTGCTTGTTCTAGCACCGACTGTTTTGAGCGTCAGGTAGAGTAACAGTACTATTTTCTGATTTGCGTAGCAGCTAAAGCTGCACCTCTAAGATGTCTCGGTAGATATCGTTGTCATAGAAATCACAAACAAAACCAAGTTTTCTAGTGAACACGGTCTTCAAAGGTTGTGCGGCCTTAATAAGTAAATCCTCCACGTTCTGAAGAAGCGTTATCTGTGTTGGTCAAATCTTTCTTTAACACTGGCCATGGCAAGATCGATTGCTTCAAAATACTTAGGCCGGAACACGTCCTGCACTGTAATTATGTAATAGAGTAAATTGAATGAGTTTATTACTGAAATTATTTCAGGAGTTGAATGAAAATATATTATGCGAGCCTTTGGCGAGTATAATATTTTATTCAACGAGGTCAATAAATGCAGTAATGAACTTACACGAATTTAATATCGACGACGGCCTTGAGGTATGATGGACTCTTTTTGTAAAAAATCTTATACAAATGATGACCAGTCTAATTTTTCAAAATCATACACTGTTACAGAAGTTCTAGGTGTTGAATTCTGGATAAATCTTAATACCTTGTTCTGAGTAATTTGTTACTTTCTTTTAAAATGTTTTGATATACCTTCATACCAAGAGCAGTCAAAATGACACGGAATGCACTTTTTCGTTTCTCCTCATTTGTGAAGAAATAAAACTCCCCCTCCTATTGCATATTTTCCCCTCAAAAGGACACCGACCCCCTTCCCCAAAAAGTGAGAGAAAAAACAACACTGATTTATGAATGTGAACATTTATATGCGATATTTGTCACGGCAAATCTCTGTGATTTCCACCTGGGGTTACGGGGATTTGTTTTACCAGTCCTCAGTGATTTGTCAGTGTGACTGAACATTTTATTTCCACCGCGATTTTCCACTCACTGTTAATTTTCTGCGGTGAAAAAGCAGAAAGTACAAAAATCGCTTGAGCTATACTGTAACTCAAACCACAGGAGCTTGAAATTCTATCAATAATTGCCCTAAAGTCAAATTCCCAAAAAAAATCCATACCTATTTATAAAAAAACGTGTTTTTATATATAGGTATGGATTTTTTTTGGGAATTTGACTTTAGGGCAATTATTGATAGAATTTCTTGAAAGCTCCTGTGCTCAAACTATAAAATATCAATTTTTGTCAATAGTTGAAACAGTTTAATTTTGGGATGCTGTTCATCAAAAAAATTCTTGATTTGTGTTTGTAATAAGGTTCCTTGTAATAATCTGGTTCAAATTTTTCCTGAATAACAACATAATAGATCGAAGTGTGTGTGGGGCGAATAAATTCCTATTCTATACAGCTCAGTTGCTTACTAGATCTACTAAACTAAATAATGAAGACTATTTATATAAATAAAGGCACAGCGCGTGTTAAAATCATTTATACAGAACCTTTTCTACTTATAAATTATATTGCACGTACAAATGTTGTCAAAGATGTATTTTATCGACACAGAATCGTGTTCGGATTTACCAACATGCGTAAGACGTCATTTGGTGAACCGGTTGGCTGTTAAATTATCAAATCGTGATAACTACAAATATTACGCAAATCTATATATACATGGGAAATTAATGAATTTAGGGAATTCAAACGCATTATTTATTCAGTTGCAGCTAAAATACAGTTATATGAACACTGAATAAACTATACTAATCATTGTTAGTATGTATATTTGTAAATGAAATAAGATTAGTGTTTTGTTTATTTGGATACGCAAGACTTGGTAATTGGGTACAATACTTTTGCATACATGTACAAAAATTTT